TGTACATCAGAAAATGCGCCTTGAGGCATGGAACATATGTACCAAATATGCCAAAGATGTCTACAAAATTATCTCAGTTATTATTAAAAAACTGATTATTTTTGAAAACTTTGCCACCCTGTATCTCAAAAGTTAAGGCGTTTGGGACATACGTCCATAAGAAGTTTTTTTCTTAAAATGGGTCTAAGAATTACCTCCTTGAATATTAACATGTGTTTAAGGAACACCCTGTATATTTTTACAACATATGTAGGAGTGAACAAATGCAAGTAGTTCTGAATTGTCGCAGGTGGTTAAGTGCCCGGCTTCTGTTGTCTTGAGTTCAATGCCAACTTTGACCAGATACATTTCTTACGAGAAATTATATTTACTTGTAGATCTGTTGCGTCTGCTGCATTACATGACTATTGTGACACAGAGTAGCCATGATGTTCTCAGAATTACTTTTCTTATACGTGTCATTAAACGACCCATACTGTGATGATATAATTGAAGAACTTCGATTACATTCAAGGGGAATATTCACCTAGTGAGACCATATCGTCAGAGTAGAAATCAACGTTTTTAACCTATTCCTGGTTGCTATAGAAGGAGCTTGAAGACCGGGGGAGCACAAGACAACACGGGTGTCTCGTCAATACCGAAAATGTTGATGGTAATAAAGCACTCTTAGGGCCGCGTTATATCATGCATTGGCTTATCTTTCTATTTCCGCATGAGTGAAGTGATTTCTACCGCTTTTACATGGGCTTTTTGCTGAACAGGCTCCAACTCGGCGACAGTTGCGATCACCTTGTTCAGTGTCGAAAACCAAACCGAGTTCACCAGCTACTCGGGCAGCTGCCTGAAAGATAAATGCTCCAATTCCTGCTTTCTCATAGTCGCGAACCATTATTATTTGTTTGAAGGTGGTTGACAATGTTTCGTGGTGTATTTCATCAGTTCGGACTTCCATTGTCTAATATAATACAAATTGATTTGAAATTCCTGAAAAATTATTAAAAAGATTAACCGAAAATAACAATTCTATTTGAACAAAAGAACTGATATTACAAAGAAATAACATTAAATTAAACAACAACCAAAAAAATAAAAATTGAAATATTAATAAAAGCTGAAAATTAAAAATTATCATTAACAAAAAATGAAAAATAAAAATTAAAATTAAATGATTCCAAACCAAGTTACNCACTCTTTATCTTCTCCCTCAAATTAATAGTTGAATGTGGTCAAGCTTGACGTCACATCAGTCGACTCGGCGACAAGGGAGTGCTGGCGGCGATGGCAGCGATTCATAATCTCCAACTACAGGCCCGGTTGCTACCGTCGAAGCTCGTTGCCTGGTGTGACGTCAAAATGTATCGCGGGCGATCTCACATTTTGAATTGATCTTGCTCAGTTATTAACTGACATAAAAACCTGAAAACTTTGTGGTATACTTGGGAGATGATTTACTTTTATAATACATAATTTTCAATAAAAATCTAAATTAGCCTGAATGAGCCCATTGAATACATTGAGAGAGGTGAGTGTCGTGCGAATGTTTTCTATTACCTTAGTTCTGTTTTCAACTGCGTTGATCACAACCTGCTGTTGTCCAAATTGTACATTCTGTTGAAAATGGTTCGGAACTTTCAATGAAGCAAGATCCCAGTATGTAAATGTGCAACATTTTGAAAATAATTCTATACAGAAAACAAATTCAAATACTACCAAAATAATATAGCGGGCCCAAGGCTCCACAGACACAGACACTGTATGTCTGATTGAGCAACATTCTTTTCTACAGCCTATGCCGTTGAAACATTCTTAATAATATCTCATAAAAATGATAATGCCTATAAATAATGATGGGGTGATAAAAAAGAACAAACTCTGGGCTGGTTGGCCGTGGTTGTTGTAGTATCAAACGTTTCGTCTGCTACTGCGGCAGGCATAATCAGTGGTATGTACTGCAATGAAGGATATAGCTACCTCAACAGTGACGTTCAGTCGTTGCTGGCGACCTTCTTTTTCAAAATATGAAAGAATCTAAAATTGAAAGAGTTATATTTTTGGGAGTGACTCATTTTTGAAAAAGAAAGTTATTGGCTTTCTGCTACTCCATCTTGAATCTTCCAAAGAAAGCAAGGAAGCAATCAATTTTAAAAGAAGTAACTCTATACATAGATATGTAGATCATGCAAAGAAGTAACTTTCGGACACAAACTGGAAGAAAAAGCTCTCCTGAAACAGATACTTCCATATAATTACACGAAATAAATATTATTTTGAAACAAATACTTTTATGTGAACACTGAATTATACAAAAAACACTTTTCTCTATTCAGTTTGTATTCCAAACATTCTTTGTGGAATTGAATCAGATATCATTCACAGGATTTCTACACATTTTTTGTATCAAGATGGAGTAGTAGAAAGTCAAAAACTTTCTTTCCTAAAAATGAAGGAGTCTTTTTGAATTTATTAAAAAAGCGCATTACTTCTGGATTCATTATTTGTGGATAGGTAACCGAATTTCTTGAGTTTTCAATATTTCAAAAATCATTTGATGGCTTCAATTCTCAACGGTTTCATATTACTTGGTGAGTTACTATACAATCCTAACCCCTCAAAAGATACCTGCAGTTATTTTGGCCGATATCGTTCTGAAACGAGCTTTATTTCTGTTGCCATGAATATCCTGAATATTATTTGGTATATAAAGAAGACTAGTTGAATAATGAAAAAGTGGTTGAAATATATTCAGGATAGGGCTGTAGCCTTCAATTTTTTATAGGAAGTTTTACTCCAAACCAGAGTTAGATGAGACTGATGAGAGTTTATATAATGAGTGATAAAGAGCTTATGTATGTATAACAAACTGGTAGGTATTTCGCTACTCTACCCGGTATGCCAACGGTGTGAGAAACCACTTACACAGTGAGTATGAGTAGTTGTCATCTTTTTTCTGTGTGAGAAACCAGCAAAAGGTTTAGACACAACTTCTGAATTTTAAAAAACATCCAATTTTCACCAATAAGGACTTATTATTATCGAAATAACTGAAAAATTGTGAATACATCCCTATGTAAACCACTTTTTTAGTATATTCATACAGTCCACTGAAAGCTGCAACGCAAAAGTACCTACGGTTTTTGTTAATATATTTAATTGAAGCAAATCTAAGTAAAAAGTAATTGAGTAACAAAAAAAAGTTCAAGTGTGAAGAAATATTTCTGCAACTGCCAACCCTGATTCTAGTTTGTATCAACAGAAGAAAAATTAATAATACCTACCCAAACCTGCCACCATACTTTTCGCTCTTGCTCGCCCAACACTTAGAGTAGTTTTGGGATCCCTTCTTGGAGGCAATGGTGCTTGAGCTGATCTGCCCAAAGAACCTAAGCAGTTTCCCATTTTTCTAGGCAACGTAGCAAATTGTCTACTAGGAGGTGTATCTGCTGCTCCTCCAGGTAAAATAGTTGACTTGCTCATGGGTATTGATCCACCCACCTGTGAGTTCATGAAAAAAATTAATACCATTTATGAATAAAAAATGTTTTATATTTGTTAAACTTTGTATATGTCAATAGAATGTTTATGTTATTGTCAGTAACTATGAAAAAAAAATATGTGACGTATGTTCTGAATAAACAATTTTTGATAAAACAAACAGGTTCAAAATATAGATTTTCGCGCTTTTTTCAGGTTCGCAAAGCAATATTCTCTTGTTGGGTAAGAGAATACCTTTCCACCACTTAGTGCTTTTCGTTAATTTAGCGAGGTATTTCCTCATACTGATTTCATCTGACAAAAATAATATATTAAGTGTATTAAGGATGTTCCTTCATCAGTATGTTTATTGCATGAGAAAAATCTATATGAACATACCTATGTACCTACCTATATGTAATGTTTGACCTAGGGGTTGAAGTTTTTTGTCAAAAAAAAACCGATCTTCAGAATTCTTTGAACATTGTTTGAGGTTTTTGTTTTTGATAATAGGAAATGATAGGAATATTTTGAGTGGAAAAATATTCAATTACTCCTTGTGTTAGTCAATTTCATTAGCGTTTAGTTCTGTTCACTTGGAAGGTTGCAAATTATTTCAGTTTTTCTGAATCATATCAATTGCCGCTACAATCATACATTGCAGGTTTTAAGGTTCATTGCATTTTTTCAATTCTTTCAATAATCTTGTTTTCCCTACAAGTAAGCTCAGGTCTTTCAATTGGATGTTTGGTCAGAATTTTAGTTGCCTAAGACCTAACGAAGTGTCTTTTCTCTGCATTATCTGTAAGGTTTCCATTTTATAGACCTAAATTATTCATGTCACAAATTGACCTATTTTCTGATATTATTTCGTATCAATAATTTTGGTATCCACACAACTAGTTCACAGTCATCATGAAGTTGATGATCCATGTCTGCAGGCTCATAAGATTTTCTTTTTCCTGTGATTTTACCAGAATAGAGTCGATCTGTTTCTGGCTATCAATTCTTTCATTTCTAGATCATTCTAGATATCCATTTGTTTTCATTTATTTTCGAAAATTCAACAAATTTATTTTATTTTGGTGACCTCATCTCGTTGCTCTTAGTTAAAGATTGATTATTGGATGGCGTTATTAAAACAAGAGACTACCTTCAATGAAAGACTTTTATTTCTCCAAAAAAATTCATTCTCCTCTGAACTTTTTGTAATTGTGGTCGAAAAAAATTTAATATTTTATTTCAACATCAGCTTATTCTTTATTTTCAGCACTTAAATATAAAAAACCACCGCCAAAATTCATGCAATACTTGCTGTTGCTATGGTTGCTGTTATTTAATATTTCATTTGAGTTTTTTCTACTAATTATAGTGAAGCAAATTATGTATATTTCTATAAAAATTGGCTTCCGAGAGGAAGTTGAAGCACATCCCCTTCGAAAGATAAGTCAAAAAACCTACAAAATTCTTCAGTACTGCCTTAGCTCCACCAAGATTTGTTTTGTTGAACTGTGTTACTCCAAAAATGATATGATGAATATTATTGGCTATTGTTATTGCGTCATCCGCTCATGTTATTTCAAAATGGTTTTTCACCTTTCACCGAAAGACAATTAGATATTTTATTGATGACATTTTGTTAATTCTTCAGTACTGCCTTTGCTCCACCAAGATTCGTTTTGTTGAACTGTGTTACTCCAAAAATGATATGATGAATATTATTGGCTATTGTTTTTGCGTCATCCGCTCATGTTATTTTAAAATGGTTTTTCACCTTTCACCGAAAGACAATTAGATATTTTATTGATGACATTTTGTGACTAATTATGGATTGTTTTACTGATAACATCTGTAACTTTGTAGGTACAAACTATCAGTTTCATGGTGCGATTTTCTGTCTAAAATATTTTTCAGAAGAAATCATTCAACAGGCGATCATACAAAAATGATTACTTTGAGGATAGTTTTCTGTACTAGATTCTCGTCCATTAAAAACACCCGAAACGTATCAGGAACTAACTAAAAACCAACCTGAAAACCAACAATTATACTATTCAAAATTAATTTTTGCTGATTCAAAATTGAATACTTATGAAGCTTATGTACAACATTGCAGATCAATAGAGATGTTAAGGAAATGATATTTACGGGTGGTTCTAATGACAAAACAGTCATTTGTACCAGATCACCAGACTTCCTAATGATATCCACTACGTGTTCGTGAGAAGCGGAAGACACGTCTTCATTGTTGATTACAAGCAGGAAATCCCCCTTCTTTAATCCCGCCATGTCTGCAACTCCTCCTTGATCGACATCGTCCAGGTACTGCAGTGCTGGGCATTTTTGGGTTGGAGTCAGTTCCATCAAAGGTGAGGTAGCTTTCGCACCTCTTAGGATGAAACCGAAACCTTTTTTGCCTTTGTGCAGGACCACTGTTCTCGGTTGGGCCGGTACATTTGAATATCTACAAACAAAAATGAAAATGTAGTTGACTAACAGACATTATCAAACTGAACTAGAAAGGTGGTAAAGGAGTACCTGAAAAAGTTCAATTCACAGATAGTTGCTAAAATGAAATTATGGAACTGGCTTTGACATACAATGTCATCCTTACAATGTTATCATCATCCCTACAATATTATCCTTATTTAAACCATAGATACCTCTTCTAGGTAGAGGAAGGTAAAGTGACCACCCTAAGCTTTGAACCCACACCAACTGAATAAATATCAACCTTTTTACAATTTGGTCCTTCATTATTATCCGTTTACTTATCAAGTTTCGATATTATATTGCTTACAGACCAATATTCTGATAATTTAAGATTGAAGTTGAAATGGGAAATTGACCACTTTACTTATCCTGGTCGGGTAAAATGGCATATACAAATTCATAAACAGGTAAAGTGGCCTACTTCAAATATAACATCAAAATAATGTTATTTTAACAAAGATTTATTGAAATTTTGCATGAAAAAAATATTTTACTCAAACAACATTTCACACAAGTTTTTAACTTAAAAAGTATTGTAATTCTACATATTAATTCACAACAATCAACAGTATTTTATTTTTCTTAATCTGAATATACTTACGTTTACTTATCATAAACAGTCTTTATTTACTTAGTAACAACCTTTCATATTAATTGCAAAAATCAAGTCGTAACATGTTAGCTTCTTCTCAATTATTCATTAATAACAAATTAAATCAACTTTTAATTACTAATCTATAGAATATAAGTAACAACCTATTCATTTGTATTTGTTCATTCATAATCGCAATAGAAAATATTTTTAGGACCAAAATTCACAATGAAAGTTATCATCGTTGTCATCACAATCCAGGCACGTTTCATGGGCCCATCGCTTACAACTAGAACAATGTATCCAACCATCTTCATGTTTTGATTTAGACCGAACTTCACCACAGTAAAAGCATTCAGAGTCATCATCTGTGTCATCATCGTCGTCAGCATATTTGTCACTTTTATTTTTAGCATCGTTCGTGCCATGTTTTTTGATTTTTGGCAGTTTCAGTTGGGGTTGATTCAATAGTAGCTTTTTTCACTCTCTTTGTAGCTTTCTTTCGTTCTTGCTGTATTTTTTCTTCTTGCAACTCATTTTCATATGGGCTGCTGGTTAAAATTACCGTACGCCCTCTCTTTCTACTCACATTTCTTCTCTTAGGCAATGCTTTTTGGGAATCGGAAATATGTTGCAAGGCGATATTGCGAAAAATATTCTGGGTTGTGGGTTTAAGTAAGGACCAGTAAGTAAGGAGTAAGGACTGCAGCTGTGGCGTTATCTGGGTACTTATATTAATGTTTTTCATTTCTAAAATATGTTGCACCAATTCTTTATTTTGTTTTGGACTAAAAATTGGCCGAAAAGGCCCCAGTATTTTTTTTTCAACGGCGTCTTTGTTTTTTCCGTTGTTGAGCATTGTTCGAGGAACACCGGAGGTTTTGCATGCTTTCAAGAAAGCCATTTCACCTTTTCGTACAGCTGGTATAGCTTTATCTATTGCCTCTGAACTGCATTCCTGCTGCTGTGACGTCCGTGTGTATTTATTTGGCATACCTAAAATAACACAAAACATTTGTTTGCAGAAAAATTAAGCACTAAGGAGGTAAAGTGGCCCACCAGGTCACTTTACCTTACCTATTGATGGGCCATTTTACCCGATTCAGTACGCGGTAAAAAAAATATACAAAAATGACAAATGATGTTATATTGATCTACTTTGCAGCGAAATGAATAGCTAAATTAATCCACTAAATCGATAAAATCTTGCATTGTTTTTCTATGAACCTGATGACATTACTTTCTAACTATGTTGAAATCACTCACCTTATATCACATACCACAAAACACAATAATTTCACTATAAAATCTGAAGACGAGAATTGACCCGCCTGGTGTTTACGGAGGCAATATGGCGTCAACCAATGAATTATTTCCATATGTCGTTAACAGATAGCTTTTATCAGTTTGTATGGAAATAGAAGGTGGCCACTTTACCTGCCTGAGCCACTTTATTTATCCTTCCCCTACCTGCGTACTAAGTGTCTTAAATCAATTTTACAATGTGTCCTTATGTGATAGTAAGGTAAATCTGATAATTATTTTAACAAGCTATATATTATACTATCAGGTATTGGTCCACCATCGTTATTCAAAATTTCATGTTTACTTATTTTTACACTCTCGTAGGCATCTAGATGCCTGTTATTGTTAACTTTTGTTCAACTTAAATTCGTAGAGAAAAATCGATCGTAAATCGCTCAACGACATCATAGTAAGCTGAAAAGGAGTAAAAAAACTAAAATTTGAAAAAAGAAATGAACAGCATATAGAGTACACACAGTAGAATAAATATTTACTGAGATATGGAGCCACAAAAATACATGACATTCAAACGGACCAAACTTTTGAAACAACATAATATTTTTGCTTTCTATAGGATTTTTAATTCTATACCAGGTAAATTTGATATGATCATAATATTTTTTTAGCGATGTTGATGTTTTCATTTTATGAAACAATTACCTATTCATTAAGAGTGAGTTCTTGACTATACTGTATAAATTTAAATGTTAGAATGATATGTGATCATATTTTTTCCGCAATAGCTATTTCAGTACCTACTTCACATTATCAGCTCATCACACTAATTTGTGGCTACGACACACTTCTAGTATTTCTTGTATTTTGATTATGAAGAAATAAAATGTACCTACTATCAGATACATTCTTCAATGATTTTATATTGTTTTTAAATTTCGTATGAGAATTCACACTCACCCTTTTTTCGTTCGAGGTGCTGTAGCGAAGTGGTTCGAAGTACTTTCCCTCCTTCCGATAACTCTATTTCCAGTGTGACTCGGTGGACGAGGGTCTTTCGCAACCATCATAGGCGCTGGGATATTTTGATGTCGAAACCGAACTTCTTGCACACAGGACACTGGAAAATACCCCGTGAGACGGGTACCAGCTTTCACTCTTCCTTCCAAGTATCCATCGTCTGTGGCTGCGATTACTATTGAATATAACAAAAAAAGGAAAATTAATCAAATTTTAGTTCTTCTAGTTCAATAGTATGGTTTTTAGCATTGAAATAGTAAAAAACTATAAAAGAAAAAGCATAACAGAGGATCGTAACTTCGATGTTGTAAGGAAACGAAAAATCTGATTTAATACAAATTTAAAACGGTGTTCTTCAAGGTTCAATATTGGGCCTTCTCTTGTTCGTTTTATACACATCTCAATTTCATAGGTCACTGCAATTCGCAACCATGCATTGTTATGCCGACAATACTCAGCAGTACATGGAACTCAATTAACGAGGCCCTATGGCAAATTAATACCGATCTCGATATGTTATTATCTTTGTCAACTAAATATTGCTTATCTGTTAATGCATCTCAATCTAATGTCATGCTCTCTGGTAGAACAGCGGCGAGAAGTCGTTGTTCTGGCCTCATAAATATTGTAATAGATGGAAAAGAACTTCTCTTGAAAGGAGTTACAAAAAAACTTATGCCTATATCTTGACAACAGTCTTCGTTTTGAAACACACATTTCGCAAATTCTAAAACGAGGTTACGCAAATTTGAAAATAATATATTCCAAGAGAGCATTTCTGAATAAAAAAAGTAAAATTATACTGTGCGATGCTTTAGTTCTTTCACATGCCAACTACGCAGACGTGGTGTATGATACGGGAATTTTGAAGAATGATAGTTTTAGAATCCAAAAACTCCAGAATGCATGCATTAGGCTCATTACGGGTACAAGGAAACGAGAACACATTTCCCATCTGTTCGGGGATGTGGGTTGGTTGAATATGGAATCCAGACGAACATTTCATTATGCAAGATTTTTTCAAAAACTTCTTAAAACAAAAAACCCTCCTATCTTTTCGAAAAAATATCCTTCGGAACTGACGTACACCATCTTAACTTGAGATTCAGGACAGATTAACAATTCCACAGCATAAAACTTCTCTATTTCGCGGATCTTTCACTTACCATATTCCCTACTCATACAAACGGATTAGGAAGCTTCAAACGAAATATAAAAAAATATCTTCTTGCAATAAATAGATCCAACTAATCGAATTATGTCGAAATCAATCAACCTTTCTCCAAGCTCAACAAAATATATATATATATTTGTAAATCAATTTCGCTGTTGTACTGTTCTAGATAGCATACTGTTTCTTTTTTCTCTCTTTTTTTTGTTCTTACGGTTGGAAGGAAGAGCAATCTCTGCGATGATTTATCATACGCAGACATTTAATTCTGCCATTTGATTGGTCGTAATTGTATGGAACCATCAATAAAAGCCATTATTATTATTAAATATTTTGGGCACTACTGTTTAGGTACTACACAGTATGAAGTAACACAACTCGACAATGTTAATGTTAATATTTGGGAATAAATTGATGCTGAGTGAACTTTTTTTACATTATGGTTCATAAATTGAAGATCTGAACAAAATACGCGCGACAGATTTCGATTGTGGCACCATCTATCAACATGTGTACAAAGTTGGGTCAATCTCATTTCTCGTGTCGAGAGTTTATGAGAAAACAACGGCGAAGCAGTAAAAATAACAGCGTTTCTATGCATCTTGATGTCATCAAATGAACAGCAATATTAAGGTTATCTAACGTTCTTTTGAAAACAATCAGTGGACCAAAGAGAGAAACGTATGTCAGTATCAATTGTTTGTTGTCTCTCTCTTTGTTCTTCAACCACATGGCTTTTACCGGTAATCCATAATTTTAAAACAAATAACGATTTTTAGTAAATCAATTCAATACTCTTCTTTATATAAGTGTGGAGCCATCCTCTTTTAATGAAGTGACTTGTTCCATTGTATTGACATGTTTGAATTGTTTAAATATAACATTCTTTTCGACACGCACATCCCCACTAACAGTGTGTTTGATCCCTTTGTATTAATTTCATATTGTACTATCATCATATAAATTTTGTAGCTCTTCCTTGAAGATGATAATAAATTTTATCGAAATATTGGAATAAATTGTGTTATAAGAGTACACTTCCGTTCTGCTGATCACTCAAAGATATCTTCGCACGTTGAAACGCTGCACTCCCGTTAAACCGCTTTACGCGCAGTAGCTTATGATTGGTCGACTGGATGACGTCAAAAGTGGAGGAGTGGGGACGACGACGTCACACGTGTCTCTCTTCCACTCACTAACGTCTCTCTCTCTCTGAAACACTTACCAACGACGCGTAAAATCGCCAGAATGGACCAGCTCAAATTTGCATAAGGAATGATGTCGTTCTCTTGTAGCTATATTACTTCAGACATTTTTGATATGATACAATAAATTTCAGCATTACTTTCACGGAAGTGCTGAGTACACCTCAATTGACACTACATGACAATGTCAAGTTGGCATTTCAATTTTCAATATTGTTTACATTTGGAAATCCATTGATATTTGGTGAGAAATTTTTCAGATTATGGTCTATGAATTAGAGATTTGAAAATACGCGCGACAAATTTCGATTCTTGCACCATCTATCATCATGTGTGCAAAGTTAGATTAAACCAATTTTTCGCGTCGACAATTTTTGACAAAACAAAAACGAATCTGTTGAAACATCAGGTTAACTATGCATCCTGGGTACAATGCAGTGTTTCAGGAAGAGCATGTGTTGCCAGCCGCCCTATTTGACAAGCTTTATAATGATAAGATATAAGTCCATGAGTTCTGTGGTTGTGTGTATTGAAAATTCGTCTGGTGCTTTTGATAACATCGTTTGAATTGAACGTTAATTATGTAGACAAACAAAAGGCATGTGATCACTTTATCTGTTCGGCGCACGGAATAAGTATAGTTCAAATGAATAAGCAAAATTTCTTGGGATTCCGTTCTCTTAGAATGTTTTGAAAAAAAAAATCAACTTTCTAACCTTCCAAATGAATACTAACCTTCGATAATATCCCCTTCCCTGATACTGATGTGTCCATCCTCCTTTGAAGAGTACGACTCAATGCAGACGACGGTGCTGCCGGGCATCCACAAGGTGTAGTTCGTATTATCGGAGGTGGCTGTGCCGACGCCTGAGCTGTCGCTGATGATATCGCTCGTGTCCCCCAGGCTCTTATCTGCAACACCCAGTGCGAACACTGAGTAACATTATATCATTTGTAAAGGCATGAGGTCGAGATCGATATCGATTGCGATGGAAAAAAACGCGATGGGAAGGCAATGGCTTGGAGATTGTTGTTCAGGGTTGTCAAACTAAACTGCCAACTACGGTAGCAGGTATGGTCCTTATGAGCGGTCAGTTTGCATTTGATCAAAATGAAAATTAATGTCACTTCCCGGCATATTAGTTTTGTATTGTATTTTCTTATGCATGTTGTATGAGGATAGTTATTCATATAATTTAAACATTACTTTCAGCTCTTTTCCAAAATTTTTAATATACAAACCATGTCGAAATGTATGAACATAGACTTTCTAGGCCGGAGTCACGATTGAAGAGAATAAAATCCGGGGTGAGTGGCGGGGGATCACTGTTTCTCTCTCTTATGGGTGTTTGACAGTCCCCCGGTGCAGACCACACGGCACTCACCCAGTAAAGTTATCGGTCAACCATCCAATCCCGCACCTGCGGGTAACAGGCGTTGGCCGGTTTCAAGCTAGATGTGTGGGAGAGGTGTCTCGCAAGAGCCCTCGGCGGTTACTCATCCAACGCTAGAAAGGTATGGGAAATAGATAGCCATTCCTAAATTAGAGCAATTTTATTATTATTATATTTTGCCAGAAGACTTTGGAAACTGATAAATATATTTCCATACAATAGATTGATGGATGTAGCCGTGACTACGTGGTAGGAGATCATCATGAAAAATAAGAATTTAAACTTTCTATGTGTTTATACTACTTTTATTTGTAACTAACGTTACTGTAGTTTCGTCCTACAAACGGATACAATAACGTTGGTTACATATAAAAGTGGTATAAAAACATAGGAAGTTTCGATTCCCATTTTACACTTCAATACATAAATGATACCTGGCTGATAGTCGAAATTATTTCACGATCTATGATTTATTGACTAGATCTGTCATTGTCTGAAGTGGAATTTTTTTAACTCCTTGTCCAAGTTACACAAAATGAATTAGAATAATACATTTTCGATATGAGGAGCAAATGGAAATCTTTTCTGTGTTTCACATATCTACAATGATAGTGAAAAAGCAAAATATCTCCACCCCTTACATAAAACCACTCGTGCAGCGAAAATGTTGTTCCCCAAAGTTACCCATCCAAATTCCCACAGATATAAGTAGTATTAACAACAAAACACAAACAATCGGATGAAGTTTACGATCCAAATAGTTGAGGATACGCTAATTACAGTTTTTCCATTCACTTATTCAGAAAATTCATTTAGCTCAATTGATTTAATTTTGCAGATACATTATCATCGTTGTTTTAAACTGTGGGTGGATTTGTGTGTGTCGCCTCTTGTCTCATGATCAATCATTTACCAATGCAGTTCTCGCAAATTGTTTTGTTTTTTGTTCTTGTTGATTAAACTTGTCATAAAATTTCATGCAGTTATGTCACAATTTTGTTCGATTTAATTGTTTTTAATTCAAAACATCGAGCTTCCATTGGAAGTTTGAAATGGAGGAATGACGTTGATGATGTTATTGGAAAATGTTTTGTATAAGAGATTTAGACGTCAATGCATTGGGCTTTACTGAAATATCATTCAATATACAGTGCACCCAGTAGAAGCGTGGCATATCAAAATTAGTTTTTTTAAATGGAATGAGATATATTGCTTTTCCTATTCTGATTCCATCAGAAAAGTACTTTTGTAAAGCATAGAGTTGTATGGGTATATACCGAGGGGTTTAGAAGTTATACCAAAAATAACGTTAAAAATCTATTCAACCGAGCCTTATTTGTTATGAAGATGTTTTTTTTTATTATCGATGATACTGACTTGAGGAAACCATTCATTACTAATGAATGAGTATACCCAAAATGTGACAGAGAACATGAAAAATAATTCCAATCCGTTAAATCTCTTACGTTGGTCTAATTTCAAAACCACTTAGCTCCATATCATCTGATGTGTTCTGCTGATACAACATTTGTAAGTTAATTAGGAAACAATATAAATAATTTCACTTTCACCCGAATTCATTATTCCATTTCAAGGATGTACCTTGTAAATTGTAACAAGCCCAGATTATTGGCCAATCTAAAGCTACGTATATCTAAAATCGAAATTGACGAGTCCTGACAGATACAATAAAAGGTAACATCTGTAATAAACATACATTGAAGATAATTTTTGGAAGTATCATATTGATATTTCAACATATTATTCACTATTTTAATCTTCGATCATTTCAATTGAATAATCAATTTCGAACTCCACAAATTTGGCCTTTTTTCCATGAATCGTATTCACCATTACTCATCACTGACTAATTTTTTTTCTCCAATATTTGTATTTCATCCAATTTTTGATGAAGGTTATTCACCATTACTCATCATTGACTGATATTTTTTCCCCAATATTTGTATTTTATCAATTTTTTGGTGAAGGGTTCATTACAACTCTATTTTTGTACAAATTATTTATACTTGTCTCACACTTCCTGGAAATGATAATTTCCAGTTATGAACTGATAATTTTCCATATAATCCAAAATGAAATGTTCAACAGAAAGATCTACTTAAAATCCCATCATAGATTTATTAATTTCATCTCAAAAAAGTACATCATCATTTTTAAATACTTCGACCAACAAATATATTAAGAGACGTAGTTTAAATTGAACACGGCATTCCCCACAAAAATGAGAAAGTAAAAGTTGCTTTTTGGTCGAAAAAGTACAGCTCCGGGGTGAAAGAAGCTTTACTCGTATGAGAGCTACCCGATATCTCTATTAGCATTATATTCAACCCGTAAATCCTAAATTCAAATCATACAACAACCGATATCATTTATGAATGAAGTAGTTGTTCAACTAGCTGAAATGAATTGGGGAAAATGTAGAAAATTCGTCAAATAAAATATAACACTGGTCATTTTTTGTAATGGTTTTATAATTGGATGAATATTCATTTTTATCATCATACGAATTCAATAATCAGAAAATAGTATCAGTCAGTAACATCGATAACTTTCATGAGACTAATCCAATTTTTATAACAGATTGTGAAAATATTCAAAGTAACAAGAAACACTTAGGGAAATAGATAGCCATTCCTAAATTAGAGCAATGTTTCAATTCATTTTAGTAGATTTTCATTCAAGAAACATTCATTTATGCACATGCTCATCTAGGGATATCAGAAGGTAATTGATTCGTGCATGATTTGTTCGACAAAGGTTCAATTAGTTTTTGCCTTGATGAAGATAACAAATATTGTCGAATGCTTGGTAGAGTGATTCGTTTTCTTCCATTACCAGGACTAAATATCTGAATACGACATTGAAATACGTAAAGATGTTATTCAATGTTTCATCTAAGACAGAATTTTCGACTACTCACAGAGTTCCAGTCTTTTGAGTGAGACTTTCGCTTTATTTCAAAACAATCATGCACAAATCAACTTTCAGAATGACGTAAATATGTAAGTGAAAATAATAAAACACTCTCAACGTCTCTTGACATTTGTATGCGTCTATTTCATTAAAATAATCAAGAAACTGAGATTGTTAAATGGAGATAATTTTGATTACATTACCTGTGACAATGCTGGCCGTGTCAGTCTCACCTCCTGGTAGAGCGCTGCCATCGCTGAGACTGGAACTTGCTGAGCTGAAAGGTGCTGAGGATCTGTCACTGGGACAAGGACTCGGAGGAAGGGCAAGGGTGCTCAGAGACGGTGCCCTTTGAAGCCATCCAATGGCCGATCTGCGTTTCGGGTTATAGCTAGGCGGGTTGCGAAAGGGGACTGAAATTAAGTAAGTAAAGGGGCTACAAGTTGGAGAGGTAGAATTAATTATACAGGCAGCTTCTATGGTATTTTTTGCCGAGTAACTCATTTCCATTCACAAAGAGTTTCAGAAGTGTGACTTTCATCAACAACTGTAATTCAGAAACATTCCACTGAATGGAAAATATATTTATCATCTTTGTTTGTGATGACCACCATTAGGGCTGATGAATGCACCGATAAGATTCTTGCGTTTCATCGGTGGAAGTTAAGGTTGGAATCTACTTTCAAGTAATAATGAAATACACTGCCGGGCATGAAATTAGGATCACCCCATGAGTTGAAGTTACCTGGAAATTTATGTTTTCACTTGAATTATTTTGGATTTACCATACTATACTGATAAATTGCTTCAAAAACATAGTTGTTGTGATTTCTGCGATGAGTATTTGACAAAAAACGAGCCCTATCCTGAATTGTCCTTTGTTTGTGTACTGTTGTCAATGTTGGTGTATCGAAATGAACATTAATTCTGTTGACAGATGCTATCAGCACCAAACTGCAAGGAACGTTGCTGTCTCTCGAGTGCGCAACGGGTATGGCAGCGATACCACGAAGACCTGGTTCAGGTCGAAGACCTGGTTCAGGGCGAGGCAGGACTACAGGAGCTAGAGATGACCGCTTTTTTGTATCTAGTGCTTTGAGAGCAATTTCTCTTCGAAGTCATCTGCAAGAAGTCATAAATGTAAACATAAGTGAGTGGACAGTACGGAGGGGACTCCGTGCTGCTAGAATATCTTCACGAATTACTGGACCGCCGCTTTCCCGTGAACACTGGATTTCCAGATTGAATTTTTCACTAGAACACTTGGCTTGGACTGTAGCGGATTGGAGGTATGTATTGTTTTCCGATGAATCATGATTCTGCCTTACTGGCTCAGATAGACGTGTACGAGTATGGAAACAGAGGTATGCTCAAGAGTAGCGACTTCCATTTGGTGGCTTATCAGTTATGGCAAGGGAATGCATATCGTTTGACGCTCGCAAGGAGTTAATCTTCATCGAGAATGGGACACTGAATGCGCATAGGTAAGGTACCTGATGAAGGTTTTACCATACATAGGTTTTCTTGGAGTCGACGCAACATTTATGCATGATAGGGCATGGCCCCAAACTGCTTGGATCGTTACTCAGTATCTTGACACGGTTCAACTCACGCGATTTTTTTGGCCTGCGCACAGTCAAGAGTTGAATCCCATTGAACATGTTTGGGATGAGCTCAAGAAACGTTTATGGAGACATGTGCCAAGTCCCAGAAATTCTAGAGAGCTAGGCGACATACTGGTATCAGAATGGGAAAATCTTCCGCAGAATGTAATCCAAAACCACATCCAAAGCATGCCTCGTCGTTTGCTAGCTGAGCTGTTATCACTGTAGGAGGAGAAAACACTCGTTACTGAAGCCCTTATATTTTTCTTTTTCAACCAAATGTATATCAGAGTAAAATTGTTCATTTCCAGTATTAACAAATAAATTTGGGCAACCAAAAATCAGTTTTTTTTCAGTATGTGAAATGACAGAAAGAGAGATCAAAAAAATGAATAAAATGAAAATAAAATAACTTCAAATTAGGGTGTGATCATAATTTTATGCCAGGCAGTGGATTATTGGACATATTTACTTGTGAAATGAATAATAGATAATTTAAATTCTCGTAAAAGTTTATGACATTTCAAACGAGAAATTTTTGTACGGTACATGTCATTTAACACTTGAAATATATTCATCAGTTAAAAATTACAACTTTCAAAATGACGGTACCATCTTATACATAAAGAAAAACATTTCTAGGATTTTTTTTGAATCCCTGAAAATTACATGAAAATTAATTCATTAAACCACTGTAACCGTAAACACAAAAAAACGTAATTGCAAGTAGATAAATGAAAAAATTCTTATGCACAAATCAGTATAACTCTTCTTTATATCTTCAATTAATTGTAAACAGCGAAATCACTGTGATTCTGGAAATGAATTTTCATTATTGATTGTTTGTGAATGTAACTTTAGGCCACAAGGATTCTTCGAGGGACTCCTCGAACTCGTAATGAGACGAAGGTTACGGATAAGTTTGATATTACAAGAAACCTTGATGTATCGGGAAACATCATGAGATTGGGAGAGATTCGGAGAGAGCTAATTCAGAGCAGAATCTCGGAGACTCCAAAACATGTATAATTAATTATACGAAAACTTAATATATTGGCGTTGAGTAATTTTTCCAGGGCTTGACGATGGTCGAATTGAATATGTTCGGTGAGGCAGTATTTGAGAAAATCGTCATTGGATCATCATACCTTCCTTATGATAGTTGAGAACCACCCCCAATCAGGGGCATAATTGGCTGTGATGTCATTACATACCACTTGATGTGAGGAACACTGAGATCAATGAATGAGGTGAGCATTCACTACAGTTTATTAGGCAATGAACCTAACTTCGAAATAACTAGCCATAAGAAAGTGATATAAGTATTTGACATCTTGTACTACATTTATAATTCAATATGTTCAGTAATGAAATGTGTCTGATGAAGGAAGTTGTTCTGATCATCGGAATATAAATTTTAAAATCGGAGAGTGTTACACCTCGATCATATCTTATGAAAATCTTTGAAAAACAAATTGAAACACAATTAAGGCAGACCTGAAAATTTGCTTAGACTGGATGGGTTTTGTAGAAAAAATTCTACAGACAGCAGTATACCAATTATTTGGAGTTTTTATCTCTAGGTACATAAACGGACATTGTCCGTTTATGTAGATCAGAGATCAACTACAGATGAAGCAACCATGATTTAAAAATATGCAGATTGTAGAGAGTTTTTTGTTTTGAATTACAACGGCAATGAGAACCACCCCATTTGGTGACGATATTAAATCTGTTGATCTTTTACTAACGGGGTGGCATTAACGGGACAATTTACATTGGAAACTTCTTCGAGTTATAACAGACCGGACATAACATAAATTTAATGAAGCAGAACACAGCAAATTTATTCGACACAATCTGAGCAGTTAGTTATAAATCATGAAGATTGGATGATGGTAAATCACCCAAAAACATGTTTTGCAGAATCAACTGATGTAAAGGTGAGACAAAACCCAAAAATGAAAAGGGAGCTGATCAATACACATTGGTCTCCTAGGTGAAAATATTCAATCCTGTATTGTGCAAGAAACTTCAGTCTGAAGTGTTAATAAAATGACCGGATCAAATTTACTTTAAATAACCGGACTGTACTCGCGAGGCTGTGATGAACTTTTCAGTGATATCGAGACTGGTCTGGGCCATGAAGAACTGAAAAAGTTCGAGGACAAAAACAGATTGACTCTATATTGGGTACCAGAACAGGCAACGAAAGAAATTGATGAGAGTGTCTGATATGGATCATGAACTACTTAAGTAGGTCTCAATCCTGCTGAGGATATGCAAAAACGTTGAAACAAGTTGATAGCGAAGGAATATCATGAATACTGGAAAAATTACCTACGCTCTATCAGATGAAAGAACTGAAAAACTATTTCAACACAGCAGGTACTGCGAGGGCACGGGTTCACAGGAAAGAGACAATTTAAGGACAATCAGAACTTAGTCTACTTTGACAAGCATCGGCATGAAAAAAAAATGTGTTTCCCGAAGACTTCAAAAAATGACCTCTAAAGTGAACAAAAATACAAGCTGATAATGTTATTTTAGTTTCAATTCACAAAACTGTCTAATGGAGCCTTTCATTTTTATGTACGATTGTTAAAGCTAATAAAAAACCACGTCTGAAAATATCAGGTGCTCCCAAGCAAAAGAATATTTCGTAATTTCGTTTAAATCGCAGTTATTTCTTTGGGAATGGGTTCTCAATCCGATATTGTAATATCGAGAATTTGAGCAAGAATGTGTGCTTATCGTCTGTTAATCTGAACTTGACAGCCCCTGCTTGCTGGATGTGCACCAGTTACTTATGCAGATTAAACTTTTTTTGTACCAAATAAATGCGTTGGTTGAAACAAACTGGAAAAACACTATTGACGGTAGCCATATTTTTTATGGCTAATTTGGTACTCTGATTTTTTGTAGTATCAAATATTTAGTATTGAATTGATCCACAGTAAACGTAAGTGAATTAGCCCAATTGATTCCAACTTATTGACAAGAAATTAATTAAAAGTTTTGAATGACATTTCTCATCCACGGAGTATTCAACAACGAAACAAATCCCTTATAAAGTAATACTATCACTAACATGCTTAGCCCTAAAAAACAAGCGAAACATTAAATCATGCAACGGCAACCAGCAATGACAGTGTACCATCAAAATTCACTTACCGACATCTTCCTGTCGATAATTCTGGATGATATCGGCGAGTTCCATATTCCCTGCGATGACAGCAACTTGACATGCCGACTGGTTGGCGAAGTTGAGAACATGCCGATCTGCTCCTCGGAACAACAACTGCCTGGCGCAGGATTCTTGCCCGTTTACTGCGCACACATGCAAAGGCGTATTGCCGGAGGCATTGCGAGCGTTCATATCGGCACCGTAGAATAGCAAGTTTTCAAGATGGTTGAGCAGACCTGTTTTGCAAGCCTAGAAGGAAAAATTTTCGATAAATGAAGTTTGTGTTATCGTTGATGTGAAATTCAAGAATTGGAGCTGAAAAAGGGTTTGGATACAAAACCTAGGCTCGCCGTTCTTTTCTGCATGCGCACTTACCAAACACGACTAACTTAAGTTAACGGACAATTGAGTGAATGAAAAAATTGAAGCTGGCGCTACTACCTACTAGGATAGGGTTTTCGTTTCAAAGTGCAACACCAAGAATTTATTTTGGCTCATCTCTCAAAAACAAGTAGCATGTAAGTGTTTCCTCATAGACCTGACATTTTTATTTGAATTGTTTGAAAAAGAAGTACTATTACGCCACCTATTCTTTGAACACATTAGTAAAATCACAACTTGAAAATACCTGTATTGCAATATCACCCAACTATTTCATTTGCTGACTTTGCTTTATATCGCTGTCATATCATGAACTAAACAAGACACTGGCAAAAACCGGGGCGAAGTTTCTGAATTATTTCCTCGTTAACAACTCCAGAATGAGTCATCATTTCTTTCATTCTGAAACCAATTTAGTCAACAGTCACAGGCCGCCAGAGGCAAATGTTTACAATCGTACACTTAAAACGTTTCCCCATCCTCTACAAGTTTCTCTACGATGGGGGACTATTCATATTTCGAAAAACTGAAATGAAAATAGGTGAAATGTGGCAACACCATAATGAAGTTTGACATTTTTTTAGCATAGACGTACTCACAACGTTTTGCTGTACAAGTGGTGCTATATGTTTTGTTTACACCACAGAATGGAAATTTCAAGGAAAGGTTTTTTCGTTGGATTATTTTTCACAAATTTCGACGTGGATTATCTCAACAAGAATGTGTCGACGAACTCAGTTCTTTGTATAGCGATGGATCACCATCAAAAACCACAGTATATCGCTGATATAGTGAATTCAATCGTTGTCGTAGCTCGGTCGCCGACGAATTCCGTAAGGGTCGTCCAAAATCGGTTGTTGTGCCACAAAACATCGATGCAGTGCGAGAACTGATAATGCAAGATTGTCCTGTGACATATTGTGATGTAGAGGCTTCCTTGCACGTTCGTTCCACTTCAATACAGTCGATTTGCATGAACACATACTTGTAAAAAAATTGTTCTCGTTGGATACCCTATAATTTATCTATCGCTCAAGAAATGGCTCGCGTCAAGTGGTCTAAGGAAATGATTAAAACTTAAGACCGCGATGCTTCAAAAGACATATATAAAATCGTGACAGGTGACGAATAATGGATGCGTATGAACCAGAAACAAAACAGCAATCGACCGTATGGTTATTCCCTGAGCTGAATCCAACAAAGGTTGTTTGTGGAAGAATCACAGCGAAGCCTGTGTCCGCCGGCCGAATGGGTTCCTCTTGTACAATGTAGAACGGTCAATTCTGAGTGGAATACGACCATTTATTTGCCGGAAATGGCATTTTGATCAGTCAAAACATCGAATTGATGACTCGTCCTCCGTACAGTTCTGATTTGGCACCCAATGACTCCTGTTCGCGAATATCAAAGGTAAACTGTGTGGTCAACTATTTACGAGCACCGAAGAAGCAGTTGAAGCTTTCAAAAACCATGTTTTGAAGGTTTCTCAAGAGGAATGGAAAAACTGCTTTGACAAATGGTTTAAACGAATGCAAAAGTATATTTATCGTCAAAGGGAATATTTCGAAAAACAATAAAGCCATTTTCAGTAGGAAATATTTGTTATTTACTATTTCCGAAATATAAATATTACCACTCGTATCTCGTATAACTAATCTTATTTATTTTTAAATAATTAATTCGGTAGACCGTGTCAATAGAAGGACCCACTCTTTCTACATGGGCAACTAATGCAAATCCATCGAGTTGCGTTCACTCATGAGTAGGTACTCCACTTTAAATTTTACTGAAGATAAGTGAAAAAGCGATATATTTTCTAATCAAACTATACGTGTCTGAGATTATATGTATTTCATTTGATGAGATTCAAACACTCCAAGGGGTAGTTTTCGTTTTCCACGTTTGCATTTCAAAGACAGTTCCCCAATTTCCTGTGATTTTTTGTGATTAAATACAGGATTACAACCATATATGGTATTTCGGGAAAAAATTAATTTATTACCCGCAATAATAGCGGAATTTCAGAAGATACAGGAGATCATCATTTGTTGTACTATTTTCATTAATCAATATACCATTTCAACGACAATAATGAGTAAAACACGATAAATGGACATTTGCCAGTCATCGTTCTGGCCTAAACCTCTAAACCATTATCTAATTTTCCCAATACCATTGCAGGGAAATACATTCCTTCATAATGACTGATAATATCACTACTCCTTTTCAATTTTCTTCTATTTGATTTTCATTTATTTTGGCAATTATCAGGTATGTTTTATCTTTCTTTATGATTTTCACTTTCAGGAGATGACTGAGACTACTGTAGCCTACTGACTAGGACTATTGTAGTTTTAGTCACCTCCTGATAACGCTTATTTGGTTAGAGAAATTTGCGTAGAAAATCAATGTTTGTACATGAAACATATATGATATATATAAAATAATGTTGCTATCTTAGTAGTTTGAAAATCGATATTTTAGTGATATACGAATATACACCCCCTTAGACATGTCGTTGGTGGTGACAAAATATTCACTTTTGTGGTCCAACAAAATTTTATTAAAATTTTTGTTCATTAAAGGGAAATTTTGTTGACGTATTTTCTCGTAATTTGCATTGTGTCTAGTAAAAACTGGTTGAATTTCATTACTTTTAATAATTTTCAGACGAGCAACAATGCGATCAATTCCACGGGAATGTTTTATCAGAACAGTATACTCTTAACTTTGTACAAACAATTGGAATACATACTGCCATCCTAACAAGAAAGGTCCCATCCGCAATATTTAAGTTTTGAGAAAATTGGGGTTTTGTTTAATTTTGTTGTAAAACACATGGTATTGTGAGAAAATTTTTCATATTCTATTTTATTTATTATGTTAGAATTTTTCTTCTGGTTCTATATCACCTAAATTCTCCTGAGAATTCTTTGTGTAGTCTTCTTGTTCGATATTTGGATAATTTGAATTATTGTGGTGTACCTGATTAACACATTCAGGGACTAATATTACATTGAACAATATGTGTATTTGTTTACCAGGTGGAGTATTTTGGCTATATTCGTACCTAGAATCTGACTCACTTCCACTTATATTGCCTGATTCATTAGACATCATTGGTACATAATCCGGATCTTTATTACGTTTGACTTTATTAATTTGGCTGGAGCTCCTAATAATTTTTAGTTTCTTTTTGAGTTGTAGGTTAAGAGCGATATATACTATACGTTTGCCTCGACTACCACTGTGCCGGCTGACTGATGCACTACAAGATATAAATAACGATCAGATATCATTTAAAAATACTTGAACATCGGATCCTTACCATGAATCCATTAGGCACAACATTTATTCACTCGAGAATGCAAAAAAAACGGAGATATGACAATAAACAACACGGTTCATATCACTCAGTTGAGGTTATGTTGTGTTATGATTCTGTCATGCTACCCTCAATTGTCCCAACTGATGTCGCTCAGCACAAAATGCTAAGTTGAATTTTCCTTACTGCATTCTTGGAGGCGGAACGGACTATTTATCTTGGTAAATGTTTGATAGGACAATTTGTAATAGCAAAGATGGCTTTTCATCCACTTAGGACAAACCAGTTTGGTATTAATGGAAGCATTTAAGACGCAGATAGAACGTTGTGACTTTGCAAAAATATAGATAAAATGTGTTTACGATTACTTAGAGCCATGAATCTCAATTTACCAAATTTTGCAGATGGGACTTTTCTTGTTAGCAGGGCAGCATATTTTTCTCCTGCAAAAAAATGCAAAGTTTTCTGGAAAATACCTCACGCTATTTGTAATCAAAATAGAACAAACAAGCTTTGTAATTCAACGTTTTTGTGAGCGAGGTTCAGGGAGGGTTTTTCTTCCCATTTGTATCTGAAAGTGACCTATATGCATAATCTATATATCTCTTTCAGAATCTGGTTTTCCGTTAACCAGCTATCGTCCCCCTACGAAAGACAACCCCCAAAAGTCGAAACAAAACTCAACGATTAACGAGGTTTTATATTTTAACATGCGATTCCTAGCACATTTTAAGTGTAATTGCTTTCTTTCTTCATCGGAAGTTTCGCACATTTTTTGTATGAAGATGGAAAAATGGAAATCCAAAAATTTGTAAGGTTTTTATTTATTTCAGATTACCCAATATGTGTACGAAAAAATATCATGAGGGTTAACCGTTCACAACACTTCAATGCATCATCGATTGGAATAGGTTTCATTCTGGCACTCCTCCCTCGATTGAATGGTTTACTTTAAATATGTTTTGGGATGCACAACTGTAGTTATGAAACTGCGACATATTTTGAATGAGTTATATGAAAAACTTTTACAAATTTGATTCATTTGTGAATTATTTAGATTCAGATTTGGGTTAAAAAAATTATATGGCTTTTTTCAGCGGAAGGAAATTGTGAGAAATAGTACCTGATTGACACTTTGTTGAGAAAACTAACCTGATGCACTTCCTGCCACCCTTGAGCGTCTTGAGATCCCGTTGTGGCATGATCGTGGAGTAAAGTTTCACTAAACGTGGCTTCAACATTGAGTGTTATGGTGTAGTACAGTGGAGTAAGGCCCTTATTATCTTTGTAGTTTGGCGACGCGCCGAGTTCCAAGAGAGTCTTCAGGGCCTCCAAATTTTTGTGTTCCACAGCTCGATGAAGAGCTGTTGATCCATCCTTTTTTCGGTAATCTAGGAGAGCCCCTCCATTAACAAGGGTCATGAGGACTTTGGCGGGTTTTTTAATACCAGTTGCAATGGTCAGAGGTGTTTCTGAAAAAAAAGAGATGCAAGTGACAAACCTGATTATAAAATTCTTATGAAAATTATTTTTGCACAAACTTGATACAACTGCTTCATCCCATTCTCGCCTAAGCCTACTGAAACAGAAGCTGGAACGCTTATGTGTAAGAGATATGTATAAAAGATAAAGTGTATATAGTGCACTGTTGCGAAACCTAGTTTCAACATCGACCTCTGAATAAAATTTTTTTTTTTTCTCTACAGCTGCTTCAATTTCGTTCTCTTGTTCATCTTTGATGAGTGAGGTTGGAGTTTTTTGATAAATAAACGTGAGTATTTGCCCTAGACTGCAGATATTCCGAAACATATAAGTGTAGAACTTATTATTTTGAAAATTCTAGTTAGTATCAGATTATTTATAGATGAAAATGATGATGAAAAGTTGTGACAGCAACCTTGTGAATGGAATAATTTGTTGTTTCAAATGAAAATGAAATATGTCAAAACACTTATTCGTATATAAAATTATCTGTAACTAAAGTGGTCACACTCAGATAATCACATAATACTATTTCGCATGTAGACTTGCTAAGTTGAAAATGGTTTCGTTACTATTGATTATTCTTTCTCATGATATAATGTTGAGTGTTGCTGACCGAAATTTGATGAAATATCAACAAAAAATTGACTCAATAATCAAAAACGTCATTTCATACACATGGAATATTTAAAAGAGGGAAAAGTTTCGGAACACAGTAATAAAAAATTACTTACTTTGATTACTTCGCAAAATAAAACAGGAATAAATATCGATAATTCATTCCGAAAAGGAATTCATGCACCTTTATAATCAAATACATTGAATAATGGATTTAATACAAGGGTAATTTGAATAAATGTAACAATAAGAAAAATATACTTTTTTGGGAAAGTTTTGGCTTTCTACTACTCCATTTTGATACAAAAAAAATGTCGGAATCTTTCAAGAAGAAGAATTTGAAAGTTACGNGAATGTGGGTGGTATTCGGAATGATAAATCGTTTATCGTCGTGGTATGATAATGCAACTTCATTCTTCAATTCAGTATACATATCATGCAACACGTTTCTAAATGAATCCATCTTTCTGAATATCATACCACCATGTTCCACGATTTTTTGGTAGCCTTCATATGTCAATTCCGTCTTTATAACCGATCGTTTCACCACTTTAGCTTTCTTAAATTCACCATCAACAGATTTCACATAATACTCTTTTGCACCTGTACCATAAAAGCTCATGATTGGATCATTCGGAAATTCGTCTTTGAAGTTACCCAAGATTGAACTCGTTACTGAAATATTGAATTGGTTAACTATACTGTAATTGGATGCATCAAACCTACTTATGTCAGTTTTCTTGACTTCATAAAAAGTTTCTGTATTTACTTTCAAAATGAGTTAGTCGGTATCTGTGTACAGTAAAGAGACATTTTCACCAAAGTGTTGTTTGATGCATCCATAGAAAAAGTCGTACATGACTGTTTTTAATGATATTTGTCTATCTCAAAATTGTTTCCAGTTTGACAAAAAATTCTATTCATGCAAGGACTGATAATTGGAAACCGTTTGAGAAAACGCGGTTAACAATTGGACTAGTTGAGTGTCTCTTAGACAAAAACCACGTGAATCCACTGATAAAACAGGAAATTTTAGATTTACTTACTATTTGTCTATCTCAAAATTGTTTCCAGTTTGACAAAAAATTATATTCATGCAAGGACTGATAATTGGAAACCCTTTGAAAAAACGCGGTTAACAACGGTTATAAGGTCCATACAAATTAAAGATGCAATAACGTCAGTCATATTCGGGTGGACCAAACAATAATATTGACAGTTTTTTCAAGAAAGAATGCGTAAACGTAGCGTATTGATCGAATAATAATCTAAGAAAATGTATTAAAAACAATAAAGACAAAACTTCGGTGTCGGATATATCAAGAGCATATGAGATGACTTGTGGCTCTTGTCTTAAAATTTATATTGGCCAAACAGTGAGAACATTTTCCTAGAGAATTAAAGTGCATAGAAGTAATATTGTAAATAGAAAGACCAATTTCACATTTGCAAAGCACCTTTTAGCAGAAGGAGATGAGTTCAATTATGATTACGACGTATCACATTTAGAAGAGAAAAGTTTGAAATTCAACCTTCTAGAATGTTTAGAAATCCATAGATTCAGAAATTTGGGTAATTTACTGAATGATCAATTAGAATTGAATAATCCTCCGTTACTAAATACTTTTTCAAATATGGAAACTGAGACATAAGCTCAGATAATTTGCTTCATTACAAACTTAGGTAAAAATCGGGTACTTGAAATGTAGGTAATTCAAATTGTAGAATAAGGTATATTTAGCATTGAATGTGTAGAATTAGTTTGTGAAGCCATTGTATGGTGAAACACTCGTTTTCATAAAATAAATCTCACAATGAAGTGTTTTTGAATACGCCAATCAAAAAGCAACGAGAATAATGCTACCGACTTCAACAACATTCAATTACGATATTTAAAGGCTAGCCACGAGAATATCGAGTCAGTCAAGTATACAGTCAAGTGGAAGCTACAGTGCGGTACACGAAGTGATCTAGTAAGACGATAGATATTCAAATAATAGTTGAAGTTCTAATTGAAATGTGTGTTTGTGTATTCAAAGTGAAATAAAGTTAAGTTTGATTATTCAGTGTATTCAGTTATTGGTGAACCCACGGGGAAA